CTTCTACATTTCCGGTTTGAACTTCACACTCATTTTCAAAGTGGGAAGAATGATTCACAATAAATTTTAATGAGACATCTGAAGGAAGAACTGTTGAACATTACGTTTGAGTAGTTATTAAGTTCAGACAAGTAACACATTTCTGTGACGTCTGATTCATAGAATCACAGAATTGTACAGTTGGAACAGTCATCTCTTCCAACCACCTGCAATGAAGGAATCTCAACTAAAGCATCCATGACAGACGGACATCCAACCTCTGCTTAAAAACCACCAAGGAAAGAAAAGTCTGCGACCCTCTGAGGGAGTCTGCTCCATTGCTGAACAGCTCTTACTACTAGCTTTTTAGTTTTGAAAAAAGAAGAAGCTAAATGTTGGGAAATTTAGGACAGACCAAAAGGATGCACTTCTTCACACAGCAATTCACTCCCACAAGATGCAGCGATGGCCACCAACTTGGCTTTAAGAAGGAATTAGAAAAATTCAGGACAGCTAAGGGTATCAATGGCTTCTACTCATGATGTGTACTACCACCTGGCATCAGAGTGGATATGCCTCAGTTGCTGGGGAATATGAGTGACAGAGTGCTACGGCACTTATATTTTGTTTGCGGGTTTCCTAAACAACTGATTAGTCACTGTGAAAGAAGGATGCTGGACTTGATGGTGCTTTCGATCTGTCTCAGCCAGGTTCCTTTTATATTCTCTTATGTTACTCTTGAACTAGCTCACTGCTGTGTGACCAAGAATATTACATACTGACCCAGAAAATCATATTGGTACAGGAGGAAGACAAGCTGATGCATCTGTATCAACAACTAAGGCTACTATATATGATTTAGAGAGGTCATGAATCAGCATAAAAATAAACAAGATTTGGCCATACCCATTACCCAAAGGCATTTTTTACATCCCTATATTGATGTAATCCTAAATACCTGTTTTTTTAGCCAGGTATAAGAGCGCCCCAGATGATTGTCAGCAAAGTGGTTGTCCTACCTGCTTGGCATAGAATGCTGTTGTAATTAGCTTAGGTCCCATGGTTACATATGAAAAAACTGCAGGCTTGAATATAAACTGGATGGTTCTTATAACACATGTTATAATAAAACTCCTATATGCTCCTATACATTGAAAGAAGCCCTACATCAAGCATGGGTATCCATTAAGCATAATCATTTTATGGGGAGTTGTAGCTGGCTACAGTAAACTATATTCTCCCTTAGAATGTGAAGACTGATGAGTCATTAAATTGAGACTGAACAGGGAAAAGTTTGAATTTGAAACCTAATACCATGCTAGAGCCACTCTAAAAACATAAAGGTTGTCTAAGCAGAATTCCTATAAAAATACATTCATTATACAATACCTTAGTCAAACAATAGTTAAATGCATCAGTGTGTCTAATGCAAGTCTTTACATTCAGTAATGGTCTCCTTCAATTTTTTCAGTGGCCAATCTAGTGATGCAGACAAATTTCTGTAAATGAAAACCAGTTTATCCCACACAGTGAAAAGGCTCATAAAAGTAAATGGGCTTTATATTTAATGTGAACCCCTAGCAATCTCCTCAATGTCAATGCTCTTAGGGTTATAAGAAAAAGTTACAGCTGTGGTAATGCTGTTTCCTGGCTGCCGAATGTTAGTATTCATTCCCCATGGTAAATCCCAGATCTGTTGTCCGGTAGAATGCTTTTTACAGCATTTACAACAAAGAAGGTTGGGATTGTACCAATACTGTCTTCTTTTATTAGAATTCTGTCTTTTTATTACACACCTGGCATGGCATTAATATTTCCACTCATATGAGAGAATGGGGGTTAATGCTACCACAAATACAGCTTTATCTGAAGGCATTTTGACACAGATCGCCAGGTTACAACTTGGAGATTGATCCTGTATCTTTACATTTCTCACTTAAGTGGCAGGTTCATAAGCCAAATCTTTCCCTGCCTCTTTTGACTCTGGTTCTTTCATTTGTTTCCCTCAACAAGAGCCAAATGATTGCACAAGTATGCAGCATACCAGGTAAACAAGGATGGCTGAAGAGGTAGGAGAAAATAAATGGGACATAAATTCTACTGTGTTATCTCATCCTGTGTTGGACATATAAGCATCATCTTATATGGGAAACCAGGAGCATGATGGGCATTGAGGTTGACGTAGTGCAAACATACGATCAGCAGCACTGAATTGGCTGTGCCAGTGTGTTCACACTGTGCCAATCATGTTGCTGACTCGCCCCTCCCAGTACTCCAGAGTGATGACTATGACGAGAGATCAAGTAAGCAGCAGCGTCCCACCAACTGCTTCTGGACTGTACACATCTATAAATGTTTCGAGCTTCCAGCCAGAACACACCACAAAATCCATTGATACAATGGATCCATTCACAACTTAAGAATTCCAAACAAGCATTCTTCAAACTACAATATTCACCCAATGAAGTGGGAGTGGAAAAACAATTAAAACAAACAAACCCTGACTGTACTCAGGAATAATCTACTAGAACAAACCTAGAAGAATGATAGAACATGTCATTTATAGTTCTCAGCTGAAACCGCTCAAATGTATCATCAATTATCTATAACCAATACTGGACAAAGACACTTTCCATGGGCCTTGGGTGGTAGGCCGGCACTTTTTCTCTTAACTAAAACAGCTACTCACCAGCAACAGCAGGCCACACAGCAGAGATACAGACATAGGGAAGAGTATCTATCTATCTATCTATCTATCTATCTATCTATCTATCATCTATCAATCTATGTGATGTTGCTTTACCAATGTGAGGATGCATTTGTTATCAACAACTGTTTTATGGATTATCATGGAAAATTATGAAAATATCAGTGTCCTGCATTTTTTCCTGTATTTTATTTCCTCTGACATCACTCCTTACAATCCCCCCACAACTATGATATATACCTGTAACTTAGGACAACACTTTAATGCTTTTGATAAATTGCAATCCACAATAGCTTATGCAATAACCATTTGCTAACACTTAAAGAGTACAGACTCTTAGAAAATACAGACGACTTAAGCTTTTCGAGAAGCCCACAGGTCAGTATATTCATCTCTATTACTAATAAATTTAGGTCACTTATCATGCTAATATTCTTAATTATGTTTTGAAATCCAACAATCAATAGCATGGCAGTTCACAACCAGGTAAAGAAGCATGATGCTTTTTATGGTTCACAATGGGGAATTAAAAAGCTCAGCATTTATCTATAATGACTATAGATTGTTTAAATAAATGGTCAAAATTGTACAGCACTTTCAGCAGAGGGATCAAATTGTGAATTGACAGATAAACTGTATAAATTCGCTGTAAATATGGTTCTTTTACTGTAGGACACCATTAAGACATGTCCTTGAGTCTAAGCAATTATTGACCTTTACAGCCTCTTCATGTGTTGTACTTCCTTTTTGAAAGTGGATATAATAACAATAAGGAAAAATACTTATTGTAGAGAATGGAGTGCATAATGAGGTAAGACTAGATGGGAATCCGCAGAAAATAGGAAGCTATTGCAATCATTTCAATAAGTATCAAGGACTAAAGATGACAAAGACTGCACGGTCCACTTCTGGGTTTTCTCACTCCTGGTTATGAAGTCAGACAATCTTTATAACAGGTGTACTTTCTTCCCAGTCACATTTTCAGGAGTGCAATTTATTATGGATCTTGCAGTATGCAGGTAACTGAGTCATATCTACAGATATGTGTCAATGAAGAGCTATCAGAGCTTTTACAGTCTTTCTGCAAAGGGCAATAAGCAAAATGTTACAACCCATTTAGCAATAAACTGTGCATTTTCTCTGCAAGGCTTTTCCTGCATTTTTTATGTGCATCATTTAACCTATCTCTAAATTTAATTCTATATTCTCTGGTAATTTTCAAAATCTGAGTTGGAGCCCAGATGGTTTCTGTTTTCTCCATGGGCAGGAAAATATATCTCAGTATGAATCACTTTAGCGATGCAGAAAGAAGTGGAAAAGCAGAATATGCATTTCAAAAGCAAGAACTGTGAGAAGTGATGCGCTGTATGGGAGCTGCTTGTGTCCATGTATGCATCATTTAAGAAGGCGCTGAGATAATCTCAGTCCCATTGCAGAATGCAACTGAAAGATGGCTATAAAACGGTGCAAGTTAAAGAAACTGTTTTTGTTCAACCAGCTCTTCCTTCAGCAATCATTTCTATATATATTCTAGTAATTCATATTTCCATCATGTAGAAAACTCTGCAGATTTCAAACAACAACAAAAATCCCGGGGAGGAGGGCAGACTGGATTTCCTTGTCTTAGGGAATGCAAGGATCTGTCAATTTCAGTTCCCTCGGTCTTTCATTTTTCTAATTCTCCATTCAGTTTTTCACATTTTATAGCAATTTGCTTTATAAAAAATCCATCAGCATTTTAGTGTGATTTCGCTCCCTAATAAACACATTGGTATATGCAGTTTTGACTAATGCGTACATTTTTGAAATTTATCCAATGTAGTGCATTTTTGTGTGTTATTTTCACTAATATCTTAATTATTATGCACAGCTTTCACCTAATACAAGGTTGCAGAAATGCATTGCAAAATATGGATAGGTGTGTTTATGTTTGCATATAGTTTCAGAAAGTGTGAATTTGATAGATTTGACTTTGAACACATACTGAATTGAATTTCTTTTCCATCCCTAGCTAATCTTAACACTTCCAATAAGCAATATTTTCTTTTTCAGGGGACAGCAAAGTCATAGATACAACTTTTATGCCTATCCCAAATGATGACATGTCAAAGATGGTATATTTGAAGCAAACTCATCCAAGTTCTACATATATTAATAAAATTATTTTCTATTATAAAGCAAATAAATGTAAATATACTGAAGAGGTAAAGATCATGGTTCAGTTGATAATATAAGATTCATCCGGTGCTGTAAAGACAAAGAAATGTTTATATAGCTTTCCTTTGAGACTTGTTGAAAAATGTAAACTACATACCTTATGACACATGCATAAAGCCCACTGTCTTGGGGCACTGTTGGACGAAACCAAATGGCATCTTCCTCTTTGCTCATTCTAGTTCCATCAAAAGCTATAGGCTCCTCAAAATCTCCAGGTCCAGAGCTTTTGTACCACATTAAACTGAGACCAGCACTTTGTGCTAGGGTGTAATTAGCTCTTATATATCCATAAAACAGTGCACACTTTATACGAACAGGTTCTCCCACTAAGACTTGATACTTCTTGTAATCCACTGACCAGTCAGTACATCCATCCGCTAAAAGAGAAAAGAAGAAAAGACAATTATGTGGTATGCTGCTGGATATACAGCACAGTTCCTACTTAATTTGTAATCGTACTTCTTTGAAGTTGTCATGCCAGAATTATTGATTCAAAGCAAAATACTTTAGATTGGTTTCACTGAATATGCAGCCAAGACTGACCACAAAAATTGCTTTCCCTGTTGGTGCCATATTTTCCACAGTGTGGGACAATCAGCAAATCTCATCAACCTACTGGATAATTTAAGTGATAAGTAAGAAATTATCCTTTCTCTTCACTATATCCTTAGGCTGAATTATCACAAAATATTTGATTGAAATATGTGCAACAGAGTCCATCTAGCCCAGAGGGTGTCATAATCACTGAACAGCATTAATCAAATATCTTCAAGTTAATAACAGAAATGAAAGAAGGGAATTATCCCATCTTTTAAAAAATGTGGCAAGTTAATGGCTGCAAACTGGAAAGTTTAGGTTAGATCCTATGTTAGGGGGAGGTGAGATATTAATGTTAAGCCTAATTGCACAGCAGTGCAGACTGGAAAGTTTAGGTTAGATCCTATGTTAGGGGGAGGTGAGGTATTAATGTTAAGCCTAATTGCACAGCAGAACAAAATGTCAAGATAAATTATTCAGGTCATTATGACTGGGTATTCAACAGCAAATTTACTGGAAATATCTGACTTTTCTGTATTTAAAATTACTAGGAGTTAAACAAAATCATCCAAGTGGTTATGTGAGTGAGTGAGTGTGTATGTGTGTGTGCGCGCACACACACACTTATAAAGATTATAACTGCTAAAACTATCTAATCTAATCTGATCCTGTGAGATAAGGTAAAGGTAAAGGTACCCCTGCCCGTACGGGCCAGTCTTGACAGACTCTGGGGTTGTGCGCCCATCTCACTCAAGAGGCCAGGGGCCAGCGCTGTCCGAAGACACTTTCAGGTCACGTGGCCAGCGTGACAAAGCTGCATCTGGCGAGCCAGCGCAGCACACGGAAACGCCGTTTACCTTCCCGCCAGTAAGCGGTCCCTATTTATCTACTTGCACCTGGGGGTGCTTTCGAACTGCTAGGTTGGCAGGCGCTGGGACTGAGCAGCGGGAGCGCACCCTGCCACAGGGATTCGAACCGCCGACCTTTCGATCGGCAAGCCCTAGGGGCTGAGGCTTTTACCCACAGCGCCACCCATAGAACAGGTTATTTACTCTGAGGAGCACCACTTTCCATTTAATCTACTTATTTATAATGATATGAAAGGGGAGGACAATATTCTAGAATCCCGTCTTGCTTACAGCCAGCCAGAGCTGAATATACAATTCTGAGTTTCTCTCCTTGAAAGCTTGGGGCAAGCCTAACTCTTAATTTGGAGGCCTGATCTCTTCCGCATCCCCCACAAGCCCCCTGCAAGATCATTCTGCTTTTGGTAGTGGCAAAGAAGAGGAAAAAATAGATACAGTGCTGAAGTGAGTGGAACCCAACATGTGACCATTTGATGATTGGATAGAGGGTAATAACTTCCTCCTTAGCTGATCTGCATGGACTGTGCACCTGTGTGAGTAAGAGTGTTTGGAATGGCCACATCCAATTTTGGCCAATCCAACCACTTGTACATGGCTCCCAGGGGGTTGACCAAAGTTGAATGTAGTCTTCAGGCCATAAAGGGTTAACCATCGCCTCCTTAGAGCATTGCTGAATGCTAGACAGTATGCTAGACATGATTCCACAGCTAGGCAAAACGTTAAACAACTCCAGAGTTCAAGTTTCAAGAACAGCTTTATTTAAGTCAGTATGAGAAAAAGGGAGAAAAAGGGAGGAGTTTTAAAAGAAGGGGGGGTATTCACTATCTTGAGTAATGTACAAATATCTTCAATTAACATGAAACCAGCATGGGTTATCCCAGGCCATGCATCAAAAGGCTTAAGAGACAAAAGAACATGACTTTTTTTTAGCCCCTGGAGATTCAAGGCAGGCAGGGCTGTTAGTCACATAAAAAGAAGACCAACTAATCAGCAGTGCTAAAAAGCAGAGGGGTTGGGCCTGCAAATAACACTTTTGCCAAGTGTTTTATAAGACAGTTTCCCCACTCCTATTTGAGGCTCTGGAGGCTGACATGGGAGTACAGGGGCTATATTAACAGCAAGAAGGCTTAGAAGCTGTTGCAGGTCCCCAAGGGTATGACTGCCAGCTGGCTGTCCAGGGCATGGAAGCCCCTTCACAAGGGATTTGGAGAAGTCAGTGGGGCTGCCCACCTGTCAATCATGTGGCATTATAATGGTGTCATGTGGCTGGCAGGTGGGTAACCCTGCCAACCTCTAAAAGTTGGCCCATGAGGCTATGCTTGTCTTGGGAACAGTGGTCATTAGATGGCTACAACAGCTGTGATAGCTCTGTTCTTAGGAAAGTGAAGCTTGTATACATAAAGAACTATCTATATGTGCCTTTTGTTCATGAAGTGCATATGATGGCGGGTTCAAAACACATATAATAGTTCATGATTAACTCAATTTTCTACTCCATATTCTACTTTGTACCTGCATACAAGTGTTTTGGATGAAACACTTGCATAAATTATACATAGACATGGGGGGGGACATTTTGTGTCATAAGCACAAGGAGCATGAACATTGTCTGTCCCCTAGTTATACAGGTAGTCCCTAAGTCCTCAATTACATAGTTCAGAAATATGGAAGAATTTATTATCCATTTTCATTCATGGTTAACAGAAGTTTGGCTATGCAGAACTGTTAGACTTCAGTTAGCTTAGCTGATAATATATCATGCTGTAACACTCAATGATTATCCATTTATTTGTGGCACTTAAAATCCACATCTGCATATTTATTATGTTGGAAACCACTTTGCTTTCAATCTGTTCAATGAGTTCACCATGCTTTTAAATTTCAAAAAATACATACTATAAAGGAGTATTCAAATGAGTCCTGGGAAATGCGAAATATTTTTAAATCTTATGATGGTTGGCTTGTTGCAACTGCAACAAATTCAGAATATCAAAAGCTAAAATACAGAGACTATTATCATCATAATAGCAATACTATATCAGGAATCCAAGTTTGGAGAAATAGCAAAAGTCTCATCAAAAGTACCTTACACTTACTGTTAAACACTGAATTCATAATCTTAGGCACACAAACCGAAACTCATTCCTGCTGAGCTAGTGAGGGATAGATGTGTGGCTTCTAGAGAAATGAAGTCACTAAGAAGGCGTCCCAGCTATCCCACATTTTCAAACCATGATTGGATCCTGCCAGTCCTTGATAATTCCAGGTCAGTCCTGAGACCTTGTCTGATCAAGAGGCACCACTGTCTTTTTCTACCACTATGAACCTGGCAATACATTACATACACCAAATGTAGACATATGTAGCTAACCTCTACCTGTTCTAAATTCTGAATCTCTGCCAAGAAGATAAGACTGAAGGAAAAAAACACAGGATAGAGATTTTGCTGAGCATTTTTTTTATCATTTCATTATTTGTCTATATTTAAGTTTCTCCTTAGAAGCCTCATTCCGTGCCCCAAAAGTGTGGGATGCCTTTCCCCAGTGGTTTTGCCCAGTATCTTGTCCGTGAGATGGGCTTGTGGAGAAAAAGTTGTCCCACAAGTCCTTGCAAAGAGGAGGGAAAAGCCTATATGGCAGTTCCCCCTGGAACAGCTTCCCGTTCATCCTCAGCTTGGAGCCTTCATTGAAGAATTTTGGGTTGCTGGTTAACAGGACCAGAAATGATTTTTTTCTTTCAACCTGATTGGCACTTGGTTGAGGGTATGTTTGCTTTTCCATCAGTGAAATTATGACCTTCCTTTGTTAGGCAAAGAAGTTGTTTCTTGAGGGCAGAAATGGCATTGGGCAAGATCAACATAGCATAGGAGGCCCCCATAAGGGGTCTGAGGGGAGGACTGACCACAGCACTCCCAAGCTTAGGTTGGGGTATCTGCCTGGCTAGAATCTGCACCCAGGTCACCCAGTGAGAACTTGCTTGCCCTGCCTCCTGCTGTCAATAAAGAATTGGCCTGATTTTATCCCACCACCATTGTACAGTCTGGTTATTTTGCTGCTCTCATGGGTCACATAATGCGCTTGCCTGGGCAATCTAATTTTCATATGGAGTTGCAAGCAGAGAGCAGGGGAAGTTATTCCTGCACAAAAATAAGCTGAAAAGCAGCAGCCAGTTATGTCTGTTCTCCTGTGTTTTTAATTGAAATCCCATTCTCTCTGCTTATCTCTGGGAGATCCTTCAGTATTCTCAATAGGGGTGTGCATCAGATTTGGGCAGATTCCATATCTGAAACAAAATCAGGCTCTTTCTGAAGGATTTGGGACTTCTGACCTAAAGTGAGATCCTTCCAAAGAACTAAAAACCAAATCAGGGGACACCTAACTAATTTGGGGCAATCCATAGATTCTGACATTAAAAAGCAATAACAGTACAGTATGTCTGCAAAAAGAAAGAAAGAAAGAAAGAAAGAAAGAAAGAAAGAAAGAAAGAAAGAAAGATGGCTCTCCAAGCTTTCAGTATAAGATATATACTCTAGGATGGAGAGAGGGCAAAATTTTTAATATGAGAGGGCTCTCCAATCAGAGCGATTTAGGGGGAGGGATTTTGCAGTAATATATCACCTTATTCTTGCTTTTGGTGCTATTTACTAATTCTGCTAGTGGTACTTGCTGAAAAAATGCTGAACGTTCAAGTCTTTCTACTTCTGTGTCATATGCCCCTAGACATCCACTCTTGTCAAATCATTTTTGTCACCGCAGGAAAAACCCTGTTGTTATTTATCTAAAATTTTGCAGGATTTATCCCCTTAAAAGGAGCTGCCAACCTTTCAAATTTCACCCACTTCTGCTTTTAAAAATAAAATAAAAACTTGAAAGGTGAGGGAGCACACAAATCCCAGACTCTTCATGTGAAAATTGGCTGACCTTAACCACTCTTGGAGGACTACTGTGCTTGTAAATCTATCCAATTATGTCAAA